GTGAAAGATCTGGGGAGAAAACTAGCAGATGGAAGATTTCTCTCTCTGCCTCTGCCTCTGCCTCTCCCTCTCCCTCTCTCCTACTTTGCCTTTCAAATATTTAAATAAATCTTAAAAAAATTTCCCCAAATCACCATTATGTTATATCTGCAAATATGCTAACGAGATGGTTGGGGCAGCCATGGTCCAAGGGTATTTTTGCTTTTGCACGTTTTTCCCCTTTCCTCCTGCTGTCTTAATTTCACGAGAATGCCTGTCATTACTTTTAAAAGGAGAACGTGAAACTTTTTAAGACATTGATGCGATGCAACGCTCAGAGGCTCCCTCAGTTCCCCTAACAGGCTCCAGTGCCACCTAATTGTTTGCTGCACACAAAAGGTGGATCAGAGAAAAATTGCTTCTTTATTCTTCCCCTTTACCTCATCTCCCCCGCACCTGGGGAGTCTGGACGCCCAAGACCGAGTACAACATGCATCTGATGATGGGTTACACCAAAGCACACCAAGACCTAAATCCCCCCCAGATTTGTGGAGCTTTTCTATAGCTTAGCTAGATTTCTAATTGTCCTGCCACCTGTACTGAAATGTACAGTATGTGTTAATCTCGAATTCTTTTCTGTTTCCATAATCTTGCTAAAGTTTCCTGCACTCCAAGGGTAAATCCAATTTGGTCCGTGGATTTTAAAGACGGAGCCAAACTCACTTTTAAGATTTCAAGGCTGAAGGGTTTTTTTGGGAGGTGTTCGGGCAACCGAACACTCAGCACAGGTTTTCTTCTCTATGGTTGCCTTCCATTTGGACTGCATGGCTTCACACGCGTCCGTTGTCTCATCACAAGGTTCCCATCATTGCAGAGGAGTTTGGAGGGAGACATGTGAGCATCCCCCCAGCCAGCACGCTGAGATTCTGTTCTCCCCACAAATTATTCATCTGTAGGTGATAGTTGCTTGAGACACAGTACTTGTTACTTGTTTGTGTGACTATTTTTTCTGGTCAGGTTTATTTGTTTTTGATTTTCATTTAAGCCTCTATTTATTTGAAAGGCACAGTGAGGGGTGGTGGTAGGAGGAGAGACAGAGATTTCATTCCCCAAATGCCCGCAGTAGCTGGAGCGGGGCCACGCCAAAGCCAGGAGCCAAGAACTCCATCCTGGTCCCCTACGTGTGTGGCAGAGTCCAAGTGCTTGGACCATCATCTGTTGCTTCCCAGGCATATTAGCAGGAAGCTGAATCAGAAGCAGGAAGTAGCCAGGACTCAAACCAGGCGCTCTAATATGAAATGGGCACATCCCAAACGGCAGCGTAACCTGCTTGGTGCAAAGCCCAGCCCTGGATAATTTTAGAAGTGCTGTGTTTGAGTTTGCCATGTGACCACAGGCGCGTTGTTTAAGCATCGCTATCTTCCTGCATCAGGTTGGAATAGAGCTTTCTCTGCCCCGTGCTTTACTGGGCTGTTCTCAGGACTTGAACTTGAGGAGCTATGTAGGCATCTCTGAGAAAGTGAGGTGTTTGTGAGAGTACTCAGCGCTCTCGAAAAGGAGGCTTCCCGGCACTGGAGGAGAAGGGGCGATGTCGGTCAACAGGTACAGACGCTGTTACAAGATGGTCAATTCGGAGGCCAGTGGTTCACGGTTCTGTGTTGTATGCTTGAGCTTGGCTAAGAGAGTAGACCTCCTGTGTTCTCACCACACGTGGACATATGCAGATACGAAAAGATAACCATGGAAAAGGGAATGATAAAAACGGAGACCGGGTGAGGTGCTAGCTGTTCCCTGCGCTTGAATGTAGCTGACATCTCATACCAAAGCACCACGTCCTGCGCATGTCACACCTCGGTAAACACGGGACAAGAGAAGATTTCCTTGTGATTTCTGATTTTCCCTTGCCTGTGACTTCTCGCAGCCTGCAAACTTAAGGGAAGGGTCTCTCTTTAGTTGGAGATATTAATTAATTAATTTATTTATTTAATTTTATCTATTTGAACGAGTTCCAGAGAGAGAGAGAGAGAGAGAGAGGTCTTCCATCTGCTGGTTCACTCCCCAGATGGCCACAATGGCCAGGGCTGGGTCAGGCTGAAGCCAGGAGCCAGGAGCTTCTTCCTGGTCTCCCACGTGGGTGGGTGCAGGGGCCCAAGCACATGGGCCATCTTCCACTGCTTTCCCAGGCTATTAGCAGAAAACTGGATCAGAAGCTGAACAGCTGGGACTTGAACCAGTGCCCAGATGAGATATTGGCACTGCAGGTGGCGGCTTTACCTACTACACCACAGTGCCAGCCCCATATAAATAGCTTTTTTTTTTTAAATTATATGTAAAAGACTTGACGGAAGCTCATTCTTTCATGCAATAAGCATTGCACAGACCTGGACCTATGATCATGACTATTATTTAATAGTTAACTCCTACCATAGTAACATAAGGTTTGGTAACTCTTTAGTATGTGGGGGACATTATGTTAAGTGTTACATTTTTAAGTTGCAACAACCTTTGGAAGAAGTTAACCATTATTATCCTCATTCTAAAAATGTGGAAGCTGAGGCCCGGAGAAGGTGGGTAATATGCCTTAGCTCAGTGAGGTTAGAAGCCAGGATGCAGCCGGCGCCATGGTTCACTTGGTTAATCCTCCACCTGCGGCACTGGCATCCCATATGGGCACCGGGTTCTAGTCCGGCTTGGGGCACCGGATTCTGTCCCGGTTGCCCCTCTTCTGGTCCAGCTCTCTGCTGTGGCCCGGGGCGGGGGCAGTGGAGGATGGCCCAGGTGCTTGGGCCCTGCACCCACATGGGAGACCAGGAGGAAGCACCTGGCTCCTGGCTTCGGATCGGCGCAGCGCCGGCCATGGCGGCCATTTGGAGAGTGAACCAATGGAAGGAAGACCTCTCTCTCTGTCTCTCTCTCACTGTCTATAACTCTACCTTAAAAAAAAAAAAAAAAAAAAGATGCATGGGTTCAATGCCTGCCTCCAGCTTCCTGCTAATGCAAATCCCGGGAGGCCACAGTGACGGCTCAAGTGCTTGGGGTCCTGTCCCCTAACATTTGAGACGAGGCTTCAGTCCCTAGCTCCTGACTTCAGCCCAGATCGGGCCAACCCCCACCTCCGTAGATGGCAGAGGAGTAACGCAGTGAGTGGCAGTGGCTGTGTCTCTGTGTGTCTCTCTGCCCCTCAGATTTGAAAAGAAAGAAAACAC